AATAGTTTCCGTTTTATAAATTTTTATATTGGTGTACTTCAAGTAAACATAACGTTATTTTGCGTTCTATTAGTTAATTGCTAAACGTATTATATTGGGTGTTTAAAAAAGACGCACCATAAAAGTACCCATTAGTACATGTCCGGAAATCCATTGTTTCGAAGATACAGGATATTAAATTTCTTTTTTTTATTTAATTTTTATTTAATTCGGTCCTCATCTTTCGAAACAAAGCTGCTAAATTTCAAACAAATAATTTATAAAAACCTTATTAACAATAAAACTTAAGCACCCTGGAAATAATGCTTCTTTGGGCATTTTTTTCCTAAAATGATCTGAGAACTCACCCTTAAATATTGAAACGTATTTTTTAAACACCACGTATTATATCAAATTTACTGTTATCATTCGTTTTGGATTTCCATGTGATGGAGAGGTATATCATGACCAGAAATATTGTGTTTTTACAAATGACTCCGTGATTAACTCTGCCGACCGTTTATTAACCGCAGCCCCTTATAAAACACCCCACCGAGCAGACCCTTACCCGTAACCATTCCCTGACTGTCCTAGGAATTTATCTACCTACACTAACAAGTGCGATATAAAAACCTGTACATAAAAAATTAGTACAAAGTAACAATGTGTTTGGTTCTATTTCATTACATTTCCACCTAGTCTCATTATTAATATGCAAAGTATTAAATATAATAATAATAAAGTATCAGTCACTTAGAACTAAAACTCCCCCACTAATCGTTCTCGATAAATATTTTCTTCTTTTATTACTCGTTTTTCACAGGCAGACCAGATTTGTACTGATATTTTAGCTATGGTTTGTTCATAGATATAAGAAAGTGACCAATTGCTTTTGAATGGGATTATCCAAGGGTGGTCATTAACATACAATGCAACAAGGTTATTACTAAAGTTTCGGAATTTAAATACAGGTAAAATTGTGGTCCGCAATAGAAAATAATTTTATACCTACCTGTGTTTAATATTCTTTGGTTTGGTATACTACTTAGTTTAAGTTTATTAGTAATTATTCTTATTTCGTGTGTAATACAGCGTGTGTTGAATAGTGTGCGATGAAAGTAATCAAGATATAATACGGCGTAAAATTTACCAGTTATACGGGGAACAAAGCGTGCCTACATTAGATATCTTAATTAGGAGGCTTGAAAAAGATGAAACCGATGTTAAATGTGGCAGAACTACCTTATGGAAGTGTATTCAACACATGGGTTTTAGATTTAAAAAAATTGACAAAAGGCAAGTTTCAATGGAATCTTTTAGAATTCGGAAATGGCGTCTGGAATATCTAGAAAAAACTGGATTTGCACAGAACAACAAAGGCCAATTATTTACTTGGACGACACCTGGTTCGACACTTATGATACCCCGGAAAAGGGTTGGGTTGACTCAACTGATAAGTGTAAAACAAACGCTCCACCAAAAAGAGGTAAAAGAATAACTATTTTGCATGTTGGCTCTAAAGATGGTTGGATTCCAAATGGACTTTCTCTGTCTGCGAAAAATATTAAATATTCTTCTCTGGATTACCATGAAGACACCACCGCTGATTTATTTGAAAGTTGTTTTAAAAACAAACTAGTTCCAAACATTCTTCCTAATAACGTAATTGTAATGGACAATGCAAGTTATCACAGTAGACAGTTGACTAAAACCCCTTCCTCATGTGACACAAAAGCAACAATCCAAAACTACATATATAATAACGACATTTATTTTCAAGAAGATTATACAAAAAAGCAATTAATTGAGGTTCTACAAAGCTTGAACCTACAGAAGGAATACGTCTGTGATAATTATGCAAAAAATGTAGGGCATACAGTTTTAAGTCTTACACCTTACCACTGTATATTTAATCCCATCGAACATGTGTAGCAGCAACTGAAATCTGCCATTCGTCGTAACAATGTTTTTCCCAGTGTTAACTCCAATGTCCTCAAACTGATAGAAACCGAAGTTTTTAACATCCTTCCACAAAGTTGGTCAAATTCTGTTAAACATATTGAAAATCTAGAACAACCGTATTTCCATTTAGCAAATAATATAGAACAAATAACAATTTGAACAGGCGATGATAGCGATAGTGACACTTATATATTATGTGAATAATTTTAAGTAATTTAAGTAGGTAATAAAAATAATTTGTAGATTTATTTTAGATTTAAACATAAATACATAAATAAATAAATAAATAATGTTTAGTATCTTTCCTAACAAAACCCCAAATAATTAAATTCTAAGCAAAGTACGGACTTGTTCGGCCATATTTCATTCATACAGCTTGCCCGGATCTTTCCTTAATTCGTATCAGTTAGTCACTTTCTTATATCTATGAACAGACTTTACCTTTTGCCGAATTGCGGTTATGGTACTATCATTAAATTTTGGTGCAGTGTTATTTCTTCTTATATGCACTTTCAACTCAGGCCATATCGTCTCAATTGGGTTAAGTAATCTCAAGATTTCATGTCCGTTTTATTGTTGTGCTATCAAACCGCGAATAGAATCTATAGTCAATGCTTAATCAAATTTAAAACGGTCCATTTAATTTTAAATAAAAATTTAAAGTTTCAAAAAATATTCGTTACTGTCCATCTCAGGCAAGACCTGCGGTCATGGTACTGTAAAATACTTAAAACGTCAAAGCAATAAATGCACAATATTTTTGGTTTTACAATATATCTTAAAGGTGTATTTTCATAAAATTTGTATTGGATTTATTTGTACGCCGTATAATGATTTGTCCCTCTTCGACAACCATCTTCTCCGATTGCAACTACTCCGAAATTCGCTAGGGGCTTTTATCGATTTTATTTACCGAATTACAATACCAGCTCAGGTGTGGATTGTTTCCGTACGAGTTCCAAGTTTATTTCGGGCTTTGCCGTTGAAAATTCCAAATGACCATTATTTACCACCTCTTGTCGAAAAACAACGGAAATAAAAGATCGCCTTTAAGTCTAGTACGTGTTTTCTTGTTATTGAGGAAATGAAGCGACTTTTATTGCTTTTAACAAGCGTAAGTTTTTTTTTTCTTCGCTTAGTAATTTTTTTTTTCCGTTAGGACATCCTAAATATAATTTTATGAATCCACTTGATAAATCAAAACAAATCCACCCAAACAAGTGCAATGTGATAGATTTAGTAGATTTCACTCTCACTCGGAAACATTGGTGAAACAATATTTATTAGATTGCTTAATAGTATCTTTAGATCAAAGTTATTTGGAATTTAATAGACAGATTTACATCTCTTAGGAAGGTTTGATTATGGGAAACCCACTTAGTCCTTTGTTGGCCGAGATTTTAATGGATAATTTGGAAAATATCATACTAGAACATCCTTTAAGTAAAAGCTTTTTATGGTGGTATAGAAACGTGGATGATGTTTTTGCTTGCTTACATTAACTCATTACATAATCATATAAAATTCACTATCGAGATTGAACAGGATAACTCTATTAATTTTTAACTTTTACGAAAACGCATAACAAATTATATTTTTCTATTTACCATAAACCTTCACACACGGACACAGTCATACATAACAGCTCAAATCACCCTTATACACACAAAATGGCTGCATTTCACTCTTTTATACACACACTTCTTAATACGCCACTCTCAGCAGAAAATTACAACAAAGAACTTAATATCATTAAATTAAATTAAAACTGCACTGAACAACGGCTACAATCCGTCCATTATCGATAAAATTATAAATAAAAAACAAATCCAGACAACAGTAAACTCTATTTATCCGAAACCTGATACAGAACACGAACAATTTAAAACAATTGCATACATAGGAGAACCCAGTGAAAAAGTTTCAAGACATTTGTAAAAATGTGGTTTAAAAATAGCTGTCAGAACTAACAAAAATCTCAAAAATCAGGTGTCTACAGGTTGAAATGCGGATCTTGTTCTAAAATGTATATTGGACAAACAGGTAGATCCTTCAAGAAACGCATTAACGAACATAAAAGAGTGTTTAAAAACAATAGTCTAGATTCTAATTATGCTACACACTTAAACACGGAAAAACACATTTTTACGACAATTTTGATATTTTACATACAGCCACAAAAAGTAGAAAGTTAAATTTATTGGAAGCCATGGAGATAGATTTAAATGCCTCTCCATTATTAAACTTAAATTCTCACAACAACATTAATTAAGATTATATTGTCATTTTTTGGTATATATGTATAGTAGCAGCTAGTTTGTAAATAATACATTTGATAAAGACACGGTGTTGGCGAAACAATTGTCATTTAAAAATATCTAACTTCGTGAAAATCTGAACTTTTAGTTCTTATTTATTTTGTTAAATGGATTTTCACCAAGTAAAAGCGACCTCAGTTCAAAAACCAATCCTGTGATTCGGATTAACGCGGTCCCGGCAATGAATTCACGTTTTTAATGCCGTTTCGTGATTGTTATAACCGATTTCGAAATATCCTCGTAGATAATTTTATAAATCGACTTCTATTAAGATATTATCCAAATCGGGCCGTTTTACCCTCCTCATGTATATTTTATTGCACGCCATGACTATCGGTACTTACCTTATGGGTTAAATGATTAGGCTAATAACAGGGTGCGAGATAAACACCGGGAATAATGAAAAATTTCCTTTTAGGTTGCTGAATAATGCCCGACATTATAAGGTAGGGAGGTCTAGGGCCTAGTGCCTTATCGGAAACAATAAATATTGGGCTTACGGAATTTACATTGCAATATCCACTTCCTACCAGATATAAAGCTATCTATATACGGCTAAAACGGCCTGAAAACTTTTTTATATATCGTCTATATCCGTTTCATATAACGTATGGACACTATTAGTCATGTTGTAATGCTCCGCCCTTCACTTTTTCGATGTTAAGTGATCAGCGATGATCGAATTTAGACTCTGTCTAGGAGATGATTTTTATAAATAAAACAAACCTAACAACACTTTTACATCTGTTTATTTAATAATAAACTTTTACATTTCTTATCTTGAAATACATGTTCGCTACATATTTTATAATCTGAGATATTAGAATCATCGATATACAATTACAGTTTCAAAAACATTGATTATAATAAGGGGGGAGGGAAACTTAAATGAAAATCAACCGATAAAACATTTTGTACAGAGAGAGATTGCTATTGATTTTTGTCACATGTTTTTTTAATATTTACAAAACAACTAACAAATATTCCTTATTTACTAAGTCCATTTCTAGCTATTACGAATGTGTGTTGCTGCCTGCAAGACAGAAAGTCTCTATTGATTAAATTATTTGAACATTTATGCAATTTCGACGCTGCCCTCAAAACGTTAATGTTATAGGACTATATTATAATTTTTGAAGGTCCGCATCGAAACTCCATAACGTATTTTTTTTTTGAAAGAATCCTATATATACAAATATTATGCGGTTGCTTTGTCCTGTACAAAAGTTCGTGGTGTAATATATAGAAATATTTCAATGATGTTTCTATATATCGTTTGAACGACGGCAAATATATATTATTTACACCTGTAATTTACATTTACACACGTTTTTTTACATTCAGTACCTGTAATACGAACTCGTTTAAAAAACCGCTAGAAACGTTTTGTGTCTTAGAAGTAAACAAATCGAATACACTTAATTAAAACGGGAATTTTTGAAGCTTTAAAGATATCATAACCTCACAATTACACTTATGAAATCTGCGAATCAGTTACACCCTGTAGGTTAATTACGTCATATCTTAAGTATTACAATTCTTCTACACGCATTACGAGAAAGAATCACATATTCATTTTTACGTACAAAATCGCAAATTTTTAATTACGTACTGGCCAAACCGCAAAGTCTCGATTTTTAAAGTTGCGATGGGATGACTTTTCTGCAGCCCATGCTACATACATTTATATAAGAAATTTATTAAAATATACAACCCATTTAACCGACATATTTTCTTAAAAAGAAAATAGCATTTGTTTAAATTTAATTCGATAATATCCCACAAATCATGTAGAGCTTAACAAATATCATATATTTTTTTATATCTTTTTAAATATGCGTTTATTTACAATGGATATTTAGGTTAACAAATAACATCGAACTGCCTTTTGCTTCGTTTCATTGCGCCTTATGTTTTTTCATGTTTTTTATATATTAACAACAGTAATTAGTAAGAACTGATATGAAACATTATCCAATTGTATATCGGACAACAAAAATTTTGACATCTTTTAAAAATTGTGCAGGAAAGTCTTGTGCCAATGTGAACGGTGATGTTTTAACGCTGTTAACCAAAAAATGAGAAGAACGCTCGATAATTATTAAACGGTATATTTATCGATTAACATGGCTGGACCATATTTCCGATTTTCTTTTTTGATAGGGTCAAGGCAGCTAACACTGCCACAAATACTTAGACAGAAAATAAATCCTGAAAATTCAGTTTTAAGATCAATTAAAAAAATAAATAAGTAGATATTGGTACGCTCGGACAGGTCAGTACATTTGAACTACTCCGTATGCCTGATATACTTCCCATTATAGCTCTCCTAAACCTCTATATACCTCTTCTATACCTCCGATACCTCCAGATGGGTTAGGTATAATGGGAGATATATGGAATTATATTATATTCCAATTCCAAACCGTTTAAAAATGATTGAGTGTACTTATTTTGCTGTGTCACTTGGTTAATATGAATGAACACTTTTGCATAAGCATTTTTACAAAATTTCCCGATATTAGGTAAATAAAAATTGTTAACACATTAATACTGCTCAGAAATAAAATTAAGTTGGTGTCTGCTGAGCGTAATAAAAAAGCGGGATCATAACTAATATATTTATTTATATATGGATCACTGCAATGTTATTTTTTGTTTAATTTATATTGGGAAAGTGTGTGGGAAATAAAACAATTTTGTACGCATTTGGCTTTTCTGACGTCAGAGAAAATAATTTCGTTTGGTTGACTTCTGACAAGATTTTTGTTACCACAAATTATTTATTAATTCCACGTATCCTTAATAATAAAAAAGTCAGTTCAATAAAGTTCGAAAAATTGAGAAGTCGAAGGCGAATGCTGTTAAGTGCCCCATTAAAAGTAGTGAGGAACTATGAATGGGAACGTTCAGAAAATATACTCTCAAAATCGTAAGCTATGTTTCAGAACTATTCTGGCAAATGGAGCACTTGTGTTACTAAAATTATTGAGTGTGATTACATATGTTATTTTTTAACACCAAGAGAAGCTTGTGAAACTGATTGATTGTATCCAGTACTTAAACATTGAATAACTTTTCCTACGACAATTTTGGGGGAAGAAGTGTTTGGTCATTTGACTGGGTGTTATTTCGAAAATGTATTTTTAAAATAACATATATAAGAGAGAGATATAGATAAGATTACAACTGAAAAATGCCAAAATGAGGAATGTGTTTTTATTTACATATTTGGGTAAAATGAAACCTAGCATGGCAAATTAGCAACTTTCTTAAAAGGTTTTATATTGAAATTATTATATTTACAAATGGCGCTTTAAGCGATTTGAGAGCTACCTTGAACTAACCATTGCATGTATATCGCTGAAAGTACATAGCTGGTAAATGTACGAGATGACCAATAGAGCTACAATATTCAATGAACTTTTAGATAGCCTGGCTGAACCTGTTTGCATGGCGGCTGGCCTTTCACCTGCAACAAAAGAAAAATAGACTTTTAACCGTATTCATTTGCACGAACTTAATGGAATTAAATTCAAGTCGCCTCCTCTTTCATTAATTTCAAAATCTTGATTGGGATTTTTATATTAATCGAATCGGAGGAGTTAATTTCTTTTCAATCCTACTCATTTAAAGTTCGTTTATATTAACTTTCATACCACCTTTTCTTTTTATATTCGAGGAAAATGAATTTTTAAATTTTTAAGTAAATAGTAAAATCAATCGCCTTTGTTAGGAATTGCATCTTGCGGTAAATATCGGTTCGATTCAGAGGGACCCTTTTTTTAAGCCAGTCCGGATCTTTCAGTATTTCGGACAATAAGACATAAGAACGCAAGCTTTGTTGAAATTTCAATCCGAAAACCTATATTTTAGAATACGAAAGACATTTTCTGTACAGTTCTTTTTGGATTTTGAACCGCAATGCGCAGAGGTTATTACTTCGTATAAATCCTTTCGATATAAAGCTTTGGTTCTTATTTTGGGAATTTTATTCAATCTGTCGTTTGTCCGCAAAATCAAAATATTTTCTCGAAGCTGGTCCTTGGCAAAACATACCGTGTCTATCTAAAAATTCAAATTCGATCGAATAAAAAATATTTGAGATAAAAGATTTTTGACGTGGAAACCCTTGCCATTCTGTCAAGAAATCGTTAATAATTAATTAAGCAGCAAAAATATCAATTAATGTTGAGATTACATAGTGCTGAACAGAAATTAGTAATCTCTATATATTCCAGTATGTTCCAAATGAAATATAATTGGTACTTGGTAAAATTAAAAATTATGGATAAATCGAGAGTCTTTTGGCAAAATTTGATTTGCGGTGTAATTCATGAAATTATATTGCCTTTTTTTTGACAAATAAAGAATATGTATTATTTTGTTGTAACAAAAACATAAGCAAAAGTTAATCTTGTGACATTGTTAATACGTTGGTCTTAGTAAGGCACCTAGGTCTAATAATTAATGATAAAAGATTACATATAAAGCAACATCTTGCCCGATAAGTTAAGTGTTTAATTTACAACACATAATTTCGTTTTTGCAAAATAAAACACTTTTTTTAATGTAAAACGCTTCTACAGACTAATTTTATAAAATTGTATATATTTTCAAGTTTAATGTAATGTGGCAATTAATACATAGCATATTGAATGCCAATCGCCAAACAAATACAAGTTTTAGTTACATAAAGGGAACGCATTGGAAATAAGATGAGTTCATATGGGTCCATCAATTTTTCTTGTAAATTTATGAAATTACACTGTAACCAGTTTCACATGATTTGTTTCGAGGCAATTTTTTTTCTTGCCGACAATTGTGATCTTCAGGACAGCGTAAATATTGTTTTTCTACTCTCGTCAGTAAAATACCTAATTACACACCGATCTAGCGTGCGGGAAGCGTCACTTTGCCACGATAGTTTCGTTTCCGACGGATCCGAGCCACTTCGGACACTTCCGGGATTTTATCGCACGGGTTTGAGAGCAATCGGATGTTTTCGGAGATTTTGCCGCACTGCTTCAATTTTGACGTTCATGTATTCGTGTTTGCAAAAATGTACTCAAAAACTAATACACATACACACAATTTTATGCAATATATCTGACAATTTGGACTAGTCGGTAAGTAAACTGACATTTATAATTTAAGTTTCAAACAGAAATTTTACATACTGTTCCCATGAATTTTAGTGATTTTTACAGTTTGTATATTAATATCTTGCCAAGGCCAATTGTACCGTTTTCAAATATCCATGTTCCAGTACAAACAAGACAAAATTGAAGGTTAGGGAGTTCTTTTTCTTGCTTATACGGTCTTAAAAAATTTAATCCTCTTAAAAGCTCTATCCTTGGAGCATTTTTCTTCCAATTACAGTATTTTTCATACTTTTTACAAAACTTCTGGATTCCTCCTGCGTCGGTTTTTGCTGAGTCGAACTTGCTAACGTTTCGCCAATCATCCTGTTGGCTTCTTCAGAGCTTGACTGAAACTGTTTCAGATAACAGGATGATTGGCGAAACGTTAGCAAGTTCGACTAAGCAAAAATCGACTCAGGAGGAATCCAGAAGTTTTGTAAAAAGTATTACAGTAGCTTGTGGAAGTTTCTTTGAGAAATTTACGGTATTTTTCTTTAAACAAACTACTTAATGATCAATTGTAAAAGTTAAATAAACAATATAACGTTTTAAAATTGTGTTTATTCCGTTGTTTATATGACATAACCAGTAATACATCTCTCTCTGTCTAACGTGCGCAGTTAAAAAGAGACAACAATAGGAGAACCGATCGGAACGACAAACGAATAGGTTTAATGTCAACTAGTAAATATTTTGTTTGAATGGTACTAAATTTAGTAATCTGATAATCTGTTATTATTTTTATTTTTTTAAATTAGTGACGATCGAGAAAAAGTATAGTATGAAACACGTTTGGTGCTTTATCTCAAATGCCGTTTACCGCACTTGTTGCGAAATTTTAGACAATTTGTTTTTCAAAGACTCTATTTTAGAGTCATATAGCCTTGATTTAACATCTTCAAATTAATAATTCAGTATAGACGTATCAGCATCGACCGTCGAATAGGTGGAAAAGGAAATTTATAAAAAACAAACAAATACTCGGGAACCATTAAACTTCTTTGGCAGAAATAAAGAATCGCCTATCAACAACAACCAAAAAACAGTCCGGAAAGAACCAGACCATGCCTATTTGTACTGGGCCTTAAAAGTAATTGATGAGAAAGAAGCCGCAAACATAAATACGAAACAGACAAAATTAAAATAATCGATTTTCAATTAGTATACATTGGATTTTTTGTTCGACGAAAGGAAATTAAGGCGGTGGAAATAGTAGAAATAGGAAATTTGCTTATCAATCACTCGATAATTAACTACTTTGGTTGAAAAGGCTGCGGAAGACTATTAAGTATCTATTATGTTGTGATTCATTATTGTTTCGTTAAAAGTTCTCTCTTTTTGACATTCGCGTATTACATGGCCGATAAAAGAAAAATGAACGAAGTTCTAACAAAACTATCTGCGTTCTCAATTGTTTGCATTAAATTTGATCGGTCATTTTTTGTCGAAAGGATTTCTCTAAATGAGTAAGACCTCGCTTAACGCTCGGTTTAGCGCTCTTTTATTTCAATCCGGGGTTTCCCCGAAATTGTGTCTAACGCTAGGTTTCCAAATACGTACATAATCTATCCGAAACAGTGCTTCTTATTTGGTGCGGTGTTGATACATTTGTTGACATTATTGTAAGTATAAATTTATATACTATTATAACAATTAATACAGTGACAAATATTATGATCTTTAGTTTTTATTATGAAAAAACAGGAAAAGCATTTCATTGGGAAGCATCATTCTCAAATTAGTGCTGCATAGAGTTTGACAACATCACTAATAAGGGCAACTCTTAAGAACAAAGAAAAAATACTGTAAATTTGTGAAAGAAACTTCCACCGGCTAACATCTTCGACCCGTCAAAGTCAAAATTCCATTTGAGATGCCAGGAGTTTACAGCATTCCATGCATATGCGGCAAAGAATACATTGGAGAGAGAGACAAATATCAAGTAGGCTCAAAGAACGTGAAAGAGTCTTAAAGCTAAGACAAATAAACTCATCAGAAGTTGCCGAACACATTCGCGAAACCGGACATAAAATTTTATTCGATTAAAAAAAATTCTTGCATGTAATCAATTCTTTTACCAACGAAAAATCCGAGAGTTTATAAAAATCTATCAACAACCCCGACTCAGGTCTATACCTGACACCGATATGGGAATCAGTCATATGAGGCAGTGCTTATGCCTCCCATTTAGCTCCGCCCCCCTCAAACAATATATAAGCAGTTACAGAGTAAAATGCGAGCCAGTTTCAGTCAAGCTCTGAAGAAGCCAGCAGGGTGATTGGCGAAACGTCAGCAAGTTCGACTCAGCAAAAACTGACGCAGGAGGAATCCAGAAGTTTTGTAGTAGTAGAAGTTTGTAGAATTACCAGCTCTAGTAATAAGATTATAGAGGAAATGGAAACATGAGAGAGAAAAAAGAGCTATAAAATTTTTTAATTACATTGAGGCTAAGGCAAGTGAAGCTTTCGTTGGCAATCGCGAATGGCTTAATAGATTGAAACGTTGGATAGGAAAACTGCGGCTGAATCCCGAGCTGCGTTAAAAACAATAACTAAACAAGAAAACTATCCTCCAGAATGTTGATGAAACAGGCCCGTTTTGGATAATAATGACAAAACGAACATTTCTATCCCGTGAAGAGAAGAGCATTAGGATTTAAAGCTGGAAAAGATCGCTCAACACTTCTACTGGTGCGGAGATTTCAAATTAAAACCACTACTAACGCATATCTAATGGATAACTATGAATATTTGCTAGGATTGCTTCACTGATCATTTCTGCCGTTGTGTTAAATATTATTGCGAAATTAAAAAACTAGTCGAAATTAGATCTAGTTGATATCAAAGGTTATTATTTAACCGTTTTAAATACTTAATACACTTGACTTCACTAATAATATTAATAATAATAATAATAATAATAATAATAATAATAATAATGTTTATTTTATCAAATACATAAAAAAATACAAAGTACAAATGTTTATCCTCTAATAAAGTTTAAAGGAAATCACTGAAGTGCTTGGAGAGGACTTGTGCGTGATAAAAATAAAAATGTTTGACTTTTAGCCCTGATAAAGTGTTTGAAGTAAGGTTTATAATATATATTATATATTTATAATATTGTTTTATTTTTTAAAATTTCATGACAGTACAGTTTTCTCATATCCGAAAGTTTGCTATCTGTTGGCATCTTTCTTTACCATAAAGAAAGGAACCCCCTTCATCATTATGAAGTACTTTTATTTTTAGATTTACTCTCAAATCACGAGAGATTCTGGGTAACCACAAATTAAAAAAAAGAGAAATTATCAGCTCCAAAAAAAAAC